GCCTTTCTCATGGTGCTCAGTGTCATTGCCCTTCAGGGAAATGCAAATTAGAACCACAGTGAGATATCACTACACATCCCCAGGTTGGCTAAAACTGAAAAGACGTAACATCAGTGTGGACAAGGAGGTAGAGCAGCTAGAACGTTCATCCTTTGCTGGCGAGAGGGATAACTGCACAACTGCTCTGTAAAACTGCCCAGCAGTTTCTAATGAAATGTGTATATATCCTGTGACTCCAAAATCCCACTCCTGGATGCATGCCTAACAGAAATGCATACGTCAGGCACCAAAAGACATATGTAAGAATGTGCATAGCAGCAAAACAACTGAAAACTAGACAGGTATACATCAACAGGGAAATGGAGAAATAAATTATGGTGCATTCATCACATAAAACACTAGACAACAATGCAATGCGCTAACCAGGGCTACAAGCAATAAATAGACGAATGTCACCCATGTAATTTTGGACAAAAGAAATGAGATGCAAAAGAGTGTGTGCTAAGGATTTCCAGTCAAGATGGTGGGGTAGGTAAACGCTGTGCTTGCATCCTATCACAACCATGTCAGAATTACAACTAAACTGCACAACAACCATCATTGAGACAAGCCTGAAGTCTAGCTGAACCGAAGCCCTACAACTACGGACATACAGAGGAAGCCACCTCGAGATGGGTAGGAGTGGCTCAGGCATGGAACAGGCTGTCCCCACACCCACATGTGACCATTGAAACTTGACAGGGATATCTCGGCTGCGGAGGTCCCTCCTGAAGACCAAGGGATCCCAGGCTCTCCCCAGCCCAGGGTTTCAGTGCCACAAGGAGAAGTCCCCATAATTTCTGGCTGTGACTATCAGAAATTGTTACTGAGTGAGACGGTGGGAGGCTGCAGTCTCAGCAGATCTTCTTAAAGGGCCCACGCACAACCTTACCTGCTGATGGACACACTCTGAGCTCCAGCACTGGGGCAGCAGCTTGAAAGGCACAAGGGTCATACGGGGAGGAACTGAGTTGTCTGGCTCCAGGGTGAGGGCTGGAGGGGCAGCTTTCTCCTGAACGGAGGAGCTGGCAGAAGCCACTGTTTCTTTGTTAAGCCTCCTGCTTCCCAGCGTGCAGACACAGGTGGCCAATATCTGAGCGGCCATCAACCTGGCTAACACCATTGGTTCACTCTCCCCTGGTGATTCTGAGATCTCTCCCACCCAACTTTTGGGCACACCCAAGATGCTTCCAGTGACTTTTCCAGACAAAAAAGGCCTACCCTGACTCATGCTGCAGACTTTCCTAAAATCTCTCAAAGTTCACAAAAACCCAAACAAGCAGCATCTGGCTTCAGTGTGTCCTCTACCTCTGGCTGAGCAGTCCTAAGCCCGGAACTAGCAATGGCTAGTTTTGGTTTATGGCTTGGCCTCTCAAGGCACATCCAAGCACAGTGCAGGTAGCAGCCATCAGCAGATCGCTTTGTGTCTCATGCCAGGTGGCCCCAGGAGGGGCACAGGCTGCAGCTGAACTTGGTCAGCAATGGATCCCCTCCCAGGAGGCTTCAGGGCTGACAAACCCAGTGGCCACCATCGGACCAAGCCAGAGCATCACCAGGCCACCTTCAGGGATGACACACCCAAAGGGCAGACTGAGCAGGCTCCACAGCCCCACTAAAGCAAATCCTGCTCCACAGGGTCAGCCCCTGCACAGCAGCTCCTCCACTGTAGTCATGGCCAGTCCTCCCAACCAGTCGGCCCGAGGATCAGTCCCTCCAACTGACGTTCAAACAGTTACCAAAGCTCAACTACAACAGAAGGGCACACACAACCCACACAAGGGACACGCCTGGAACATGCGGCTCTGGTGACCAGGGAGACTGCATCACTCGGTCCCACAGGGCACCTACTACATAAGGGCACTCTCCTAAGACCAGGAGGCATAGCAGCCCTACATAGAAACAAACACAGGAAGGCAGCCAAAATGGGGAGACAAAGAAACATGTCCCAAATAAAAGAACAGAACAAAGCTCCAGAAAAAGAACACAACAAAATGGAGACAAGCAATCTACCAGATGCAAAGTTTAAAACTGTTATAAGGATGCTCAGTGACCTCAGGGAGAACTTCAACAAAGAGATAGGAAACAAAAATGGAGATAGAAAACATAAAAAAGAACCCATCAGAAATAAAGAATACAATAACTGAAATGAAGAATACATTACAGGAATCAACAGTAGATTAGATGAAGCAAAGGATCGAATCAGCAATTTAGAAGATAAGGTAGCAGAAAACACCCAATCAGAACAGCAAAAAGAAAAAAAAAATTTTAAATAATGAGGAGAGTTTAAGGGGCCTCTGGGACATCAAGCATACCAACATTCCCATCATAGGGGAACCAGAAAGAGAAAAGAGAGAGCAAGGAATGAAAAACCTATTTGAAGAAATAATGACTGAAAACTTTCTTAACCTGGCAAAGGGAAGAGACATATAAGTCCATAAAGCACAGAGTCCCAAACAAGATTGACTCAAACAGGTGCACACCAAGGCACATTATAATTAAAATGCCAAAGGTTAAAGACAAAGAGAGAATCTTAAAAGCAGCAAGAGAAAGGCAACTAGTAACTTATAAGGGAGCTCCCATAAGATTGGCAGCTGATTTCTCAACAGAAATTTTGCAGGCCGGAAGGGCTTGGCACAAAATATTCAAAGCGATGAGAAGCAAGGACCTGCAACCAAGATTCCTCTACCCAGCAAGGCTAGCATTTAGAATCGAAGGACAGATAAAGAGCTTCCCAGGCAAGAAAAAGCTAAAGGAGTTCATCACCACCAAACCAGTATTACAAGGAATGTTGGAGGAACTTCTTTAAGACACACACACACACGCAAATCAAAAATATGAATAATAAAATGGCAATAACTACATATCTATCAACAATTACTTTCAATGAAAATGGATTAAATGCTCCAATCAAAAGACACACAATGGCTGAATAAATAAGAAAACAAAACCCTTACATATGCTGCCTACCAAAGACTCACTTCAGATTGAAAGACACACAGACTGAAAGCAAAGGGATGGAAAAAGATATTTTGTAGAGATGGAAACAAACAAACAAAAAAGCTGAAGTAGCAATACTTATACCAGACAAAATCGACTTTAAAACAAAGGCTACAACAAGAGACAAAGAAGGACCTAGTAATCCCACTTCTAGATATTTATCCAAAAAAAACCCCCACAATACTACTTCAAGGGAAAGTATTCATCAATATGCTCATTGCAGCATTATTTACAGTGGCCAACATATGAAGGCAACCTGGGTGTCCCTGAATGAATAAATGGATAAAAGAGAGGTAGTACATATATAAAATGGAATATTACTCAGCCATAAAAAAAAGAATGAAACCTTGCCATCTGCAACAACATGGATGGACAGAGAGGGTATTGTGCTGAGTGGAGTAAGTCAGACAGAGGAAGACAAATGTCATATGATTTCACTTATAAGTGGAATCTAGAGAACAAAATAAAAAATCACAAAACAAACTCATAGATACAGAGAATATTTTTATGGTTGCCAAGTGGGAGGGGGACTGGGACTCAGTGAAAAGGGGGAAGGGATTAAGAGGTACAAATTGTTTGCTACACAGTAGTCAGGGGCTGAAAAGTACAGCATAGAGAACACAGTCAATAATATGGTAATTACTATGTATGGTGCCAGGTGGGTGCTAGACTAGCCAGGGGGATCACTTCTTAAATTATACAAATGTCTAACCACTATGCTATATGCCTGAAACTAATATAAAATAACATTGAATGTCCAATGTAATTGAAAAATTAAAAAGGTGGGGAAAGGTGAAGGGGAATAAAAGGTTCAAATTTCTGGGAACAAATAAGTCATGGGGATGTAATGCACAGCATGGGGAATACAGACAGCGTGGGACGGCATCAGATGCTTGCTGAACTTATCACGGTGATCACGTCTTTAAGTATATAAATGTTGAACAACTACGGTGTACCCCTGAAGCTAATGTAATATTGTATGCTAGCTACATTTTAATAAAAATATTTTTTTAAAAAAAGAGTACGTGCTCTATGGTTCTATTTATATACGCTTCAAAGATAGGCTAAATTGATGTACAAGCGAGTAGAGTGGTTACCTTTTGGGGGGCGGGAGGAGATAACTGGGGTCCTGGGTGGAGGGCTGGGGGCAGGGAACTTCCGAGGTTCTGGAAAAGACCGAGAGGAGAGTGTCTCAGCCTTGACACTGTTGGTTACGTTGGGCTGGAATCTTTGCACTCGTGTGCTAGGCAGCCTCCCTGGCCTCAACCGCTAGATGCCAGTAACAAACATGCCCTCCTCTAGTTGAGACAACCAAAAATGTCTCCAGACATGGCCAGTGGTCCCTGGGGACGGGGGCCAGAATCCCCCCAGCTGAGGACCACAGTTTTATTGCTAGTCCTGGGGGTTATGGGTGTGTGTTTACTTTATGAAAATTCATTGAGCTGTACACATACAATACAGCAACTGTTCTGCATGTGTGTTAAACTTGAAAAGGTTTTGAAATCGAAAAAGAAGTTGATGAATAACTTAAAGAACCAAAGCTTTTAGCGTGAACATGGAAAGTAGGTACAGTGTAGGGTAGTGTCTTGTCTGCAGATAAGGAGACAGATCCAGGGTCGCATGGGGTTCTGTGGCCGGTGGGACAAGGCGGTGAGTCCTCGCCCCCCTCCCACACTCACGGGCAGACTTGCTCCCACATACGGCCCACGCCGGAGCCAAGGCTGATCCCACACAGGGAAATGGTCGGACCTCGGAAACCCAACCCCCACTGTGAACACAGGGTGGATAGACGCTGCACCCCAGCACCCTGCAAACAGAATTCTGAAAACCAATATCTCATGCAAACAGGATATTAACTTTTGTCAGAAAGATCAAAAAAGGCTTGAGGTTTTTCTTCGCAGCCTCAGCCTCTCCTGCCTCTCCTTCTCTGGCTTTATCTACTCATTTCAGTCTGCAGGCAGGAAGAGATGGCAGCTGGGGAGACACAGGTCTACGCCAAGGTCAACAGCAAGCTCAAGGGCCGCAGCACCGCCTCGCTCCTGGACCCCCTTTTGGGGATGGGCTTCCCGGCACACACCGCGTGAGTACTGCCCGGAGCGGGGCGTGCCCCAGACCCCCGGCCTGACCCTTCTGAGGTCCCAGCCACAAAACACAGGCTGCTCAGAGCACTTACTTCCTGTCGAGGGGTGCTGCTTGCAGGGTGAGATACAGTCTCAAAATATGGCCCTTTTTTGCTTTTTGTACATGATATGGCCTTTCCCTTTTAAAGAAAAACTCTGCCAACTGGCTGATGGCGGGGGGGAGGGGGTGTAGTGTGAGATTTGTGAAAGTTGGAAGCCATGTGTCACTGTAATGTCCCTGTTTCTCAGGGTTTAGAGGAGCTCGCGGCCTGTGTACCTTCTTTGTGGGCAGCTCAATGACTCTGAGATGACATTTTAAACTAATTTGAAAAACCCCAAAGCTCATGAGTCTAGTGCTGGGTCCTGCTGAGATGAGAATGTGTTTCTCGATGGTGCAGGGGACCATTCAACCTTAGGGAAAACCTCTTGAATGTCTGATAATGAAACAAAACGGTTCAGGAACTACCTGAACCGTGTCAGCACGATCCTCCTTACCCAAGGAAAAGGTCCACACGTAGAAAATTTTAACCTTAGGAGCGACCCCTGTCAGAGAGGCAAGTAGGCCCCCAAAGCAATGAGCTATGACACTGACATTGGGGTATAGTTTCCACAGTAATCAGACTTCACGTGGAAAATACGTCGGAAGTCCCCTTAAGTAACTCTGGATTGTGGGGGGGGGGCAAACTTTCCTTAAACACTGTAACAAAATCCTGACCTGACAGGATGAGATAAGGTCGACGTTACCTAGAACCCCTTCTCCTCCAGCCCAGAGCAGAACTTTGTCCTCACCTCAGGCTCATGATAAACCGGGGGCCTGGGAAACAGGGGACAGAACCAGTGTGAGCAGAGTGACTGCCGTGTGTGGAATCCGCTCTGGGCACCTGCCATCGGGTGCAGACAGGGACACAGGCCAGACAGGGGGGGCGGTGGTGGGGCAGGACCAGAAGCCCCCTCTCGGAAACGCCTCTAGAGCCTGCGTTGTCTCACACTGCTGCTGCTGTGCTGGGACGCACACTCAGGGTCCCTTCTCAGTCAAACATTAGCCGCCTGTGGGGCAGGGAGCACGTTTTGACCTTCTCATGAAGCTGGAGCGCCCCAGGTAAGGCTCTGTGCCGAGGCCTCTCCAGGTGGCACATCCCATAGGTGTTCGTGGGATACCAGCCTCGGGCAGCACCCCATGGCTTCCTCATCACCTCCAGCTGTTTCCGGCTGAACTCCTGAAGGACCTCCTTTAGCCATCGTCCATTCTCCTCAATTTCGTGCAGCCCAGTTCAGTTCAACTCAATGTGTATACACGTCCAGTTATAACGCTTAGGCCTCGGGGACCCACAGGCTGAGAGAGGAGGCAAATGGACACAAGTCCATTGAGATGAGAAGTGTGGTGACCATATATGAGGTGGGGAAACACAGGAGGGGCCGCACAGGTGGGCACTCTGGAGGGCTTCCTGGAGGAGGGGCATTATAGCCAAGAACCATGGGAGTGTTGGCGAGGGTCACATTTGGCAGTGAGGCCCATGTGCAAACCAGGGCCCTGGATGGCCCTTCATGGCTGCCGGGAGAACGTGGGAGTGGGTTCACCTGGCTGTGGGGAAGAACAGGGCAGACGGGATTGCAGGTGTGGGTGGGCCTCAGGGCACAGGCCCGTAGACTGTGCCGAGGACTGGAGGTGGGAGCCCGCAAAGGAAAACGAGCAGAGAGGATATGAGCAGATCTGTATTTTAGAAACCGCAGTAAGCGACGGGGAGCACAGAGGCGTGAGCGCTGTGTCCAGCTGTGCAATCTCAGGACCCAGCCCCTCGTGGGGTCCCCCAGAAGGATGAGTGGGTGGCTGGGCTCATCTTTTCCCAGCGAGTGGCAGGCAGGGCTCTGAACGCCCCTTTCGTTCTCCTTCCTTCAGGCTGAAGGCGTTGGCAGCCACGGGGAGGAAGACGGCGGAAGAGGCGGCAGAGTGGTGAGTGGGGCTGTCTTTGCAGAGCTGGGGTGTGTGGATTGACCTGCTCTGTTTGAGGACTTCATAGGGTGGACACTGGGAAGTGCCCGGTACATCCCGGACAGGGCAGGGTGGGGGGCACCTCCATGCCTGCCTTCCAGCACCAAGGAAAAGGAAGAAAAAGTCCAGTTTCAAAGAGAAAACAACAAAGACCTTTGAACAAGGCTTTCTTCACTTAAACACTGATTGAATCCAAACATGACTGCCAAAGGAGAAAATTCACGTGATTTGTTGAATAAATAGGGAAGAGCCCTTTTTGCTGATATAAAACAGGAGTCGCCACTCTCTCAGGCTGCCCCTGATGGGGAGAGAATCTACTGGGGTCGTGAATGTCTCCTAAGGCGTGGGCACAGTGCAGGTGGCTGGGGAGCTGCGGTTCCAGGCGGCTCAGCCACCCACCAGCTATGTGACTGCTCACCACCCACAGCGCCAGGCCTTGGTTCCCAGAGCGGACACCCCGTTCTCTAAGGCCAGTCCCGCCTGAATGTTGCCATGATGCCATCATGTTGCCCCAGGGGGGAAGTCCCCTCTGGCTCTGCCCCAGAGCAACCAGAGTGAGAATCAAACGATAAAAGCCAGGTTATGCAAGGAGGCGGTGCCCTCCGCAGAGCAGGCTGGCAGACACCGATCGTGGGCCTGTGAGCGTCCAGCATGTCCTCGGTGGGAACGCCCTTCCCCTCCAGGAACTTTAGGCCAAGGGCAGAGTGTGCAGCCCCTCACGGGGCAGAGGGAAATTCCCAGGGCCCCTGCTCTAGGCGCGCTCTGAAGTCGGTGCCAAGTTTGAGTTAGAAACCAATCCTACTGCTGGGAGGGCTCCAGTTGGTCCCTGCTGGCGACGACTCAGCCAATAAGACTACAAGTCCCACCAAGGAACGGGGAGACAGTAGGGTCCCCTCGTCTCAGCCAAGAGTGGGCCCAACCTCACTAATAATCAGGGACGTGCAAATTAAGACGCCATTCAAAACCACGGACACCTTCAAGCGTTGGTGCAGGGGAGGGGAGGGGTGATTGCTTACTTGCCTAGTTGCAATCTGGGGTGTCCATCAACACTGAGCATGTGCACAGCCGCCCCCGCAAGCAGCTCCAACTCTAAGGACAGTCTCTGGAGAAAGGGCCTAGAAAAACGTACAAAAATCTTAACTACAGTGTTAAAAAAGAAAACAATTTAAATGTGCACCAATGGAACAGTGAGTGGAGGACACATACATGTACACGATGGGATGTTACATTGCCGAGAAGGTTCCCCTGACGAACTCAACTAGGCAGGTATCAACACGGCAAATCGGGAAAACATATCATTGAGTAAAAAATGCAATCATTTGCAGAATAATTTAGACGATCGCTTATGATTTATATCACACACACACACACACACACACACACACACAAATGCTACCTATGGATTTATGACTGAAATGTCTGGAAGAAAACCTGCCTCCTTAAGGGGGTAGTGAGTCAGGCTGAAGGGAGAATGGCTGGTATTTTTTTTTATTATCAGGGAGAATGTGTAGTTAATGTGTTCTTACCTGGTTCCATACTGCTTTCTAAACCTAATATTATCTCACAAGCACTTCCCTGAGTCATTAGAAATTCTTCAAAACCATAATTTCTAATAAATAGATAAGTAAATTTACTATCGTTTAGCTAGTTTTTCCTTCTTTCCTATTATAAATAACCCTACAATAAATATTTTACACATGCAGTTTTATCTATGCTTTTTGCTTTTTCCTTTCATTAAATTTCCAGAAGTAGTTAGTTCAAACGGAACGTGAATTTTAAGGCTCTCGACATGTGCTGTGAAATTGCTTCATATAAAGACTGCTCAGGCTTAGCCTTCAGGTTTGTGCATCTTTGACACCACTGAGCGTGACTTTTACCCTTTGAAAATCTTTGTGTTCATTTGACAAATGAGAAAAATGGTTGTTTTAATTCTCATTTTTATTATTAGTGAGAATGAACTGGAATTTTGGGTTGTAGGTCATTTCTCCTTAAATTTAAAATAACATTCTGAATTGAAAGAAAATATAAGAGTTGACTAAATTTTGTCTAGTTCTTTGTGGGTTTGATTTTTACATTTAATTTGAAGTTTGAGATAAAATTAAAATGTGAATTTTTTTTTCCACAAAATTTTTTCAACAGTAAGGAGATGGCTAGACCAACAAAGCTCATTGGAAGACCAGGTTTTGTGTTTCACTGTCACTTTTCTCTCATTGTCTTGGTCTTCGGCCTGGGAGTCAGACTAACCTGGGTCTGAGACCTGAGTAGACAACGACCCACTCTGTGGCCACACAAAGCCACATGCGTGTTGCGTCTCACCCGGGCAGTGACTGGAGGACTAATTTATGTGACGCATCTACGTCACAGCTCAGCACAGCCTGTTATTCTCAGTTGCTGCCACTGCCTCTGCCCTCTGAGGGGAGAGAATCTTTTTGTCAGGACACCAGGTGAAAGTGGTCTGTTCTCTGTTGCAGGCTGCATTGTCATTGCAATGACCCTTCTCTAGAGGACCCCATCCCCCAGGAGTATACCCTTTTCCTCTGTCCCACGGGGCCCCTGCTGGAAAAACTTCAAGAGTTCTGGAGAGAGAGCAAGCGCCAGTGCACAAAGAACAGAGCGCATGAGGTCTTTCCTCACATAACGCTCTGCGACTTCTTCACGGTGAGTCAGTCCCAACGTATCGCTAATGCTCATTAATGCAGCAGCTGGTGTCATTTCCTATGCTAACTAGGGAAAGGTGGTACAAATTGGGCAGCCACATGACTTATTTTTATGGGGCAGTCCACAACTATACTATTAGCTGGCCTCTCTGTGTGAGATAGCCTTTACTTTTCTTCTCACCCTCATCTGGCCAACTCCTACTCATCCTTCAGAACCCAACTCATTTACCCCTCTCCCTTTTTTAAGTGTTCTCCAGCTTCCCAGGCAGATGGGGTTGCTGCCCTTTGTGCTCCCACCTTCTATTTGTTTATATAACTAGGGGCACTTTCCCTGTGATCTGACAGTGTGTCTGGTACAACTTTGCATCCCTCACTAGACTGAATCCCTCGTGGAAGGTGGATGCTTCACTCATCTGGGCACCCCAGGGATTACCATGGTGCCCAAAACAGAACAGATGCTTCAGAAACATGTGATGGATGACTGAAGAATGGGTGGTTGTTGGCCAGTCACAAACGCAGTACTGTTCCCTGACGCAGGGACCAGTCCTGATTTAGCAAATGGTCAAATGAGCCATCCATAGGGGCCCGGGAAGCTGGGAAGGACCTGGGCTGCTCACATGAGAAGAAGGAGGTATGAGAATGAGGGAGGGAGGGACAGACACCACTTCCCCTCTTCCTCTGTGGCTCTTACCAGAGAAACCTAGAGAGGGAACACCCTGGCGGGGCCCTGCCCTGCTGTCAGCCAGCTGTAAGGGTTCCGCTGGGCAGTCTGGCTGAGCAGTTTCGACAGAGCTCTCTCTCCAGGTGGTGGGGGGCTGCCACTTTGGGGCAAGGTGCGGCATTGTGGGGCTGTGGCCCTAGGAAGAGGGGTCGCACAGAACTGTGTGCAGTGAATTAGGGGGCAGTGGGGAGAGGGTGTCAGTGTGTTGGTTAAGTGTCCTCCAAGAAGCAGACCCAAGGTGGGGTTAGAAGTGTAGTAGATTTCTTTCGGAGAAACACCTGTGAAGGATGAAGGAGACGGGATTGGGCAGGGAGAGCCATCAGGCCGTGGCGTGTAGGGCTGACACCTGTGAAAGGCGGGCAGGAAGACTGGGTGGCGGAGGTGGGGCACTCGCCCGCAGCGCCTTCCTGGGAGCCTCAGAGCCAAGGCCCTGTCAGGGTCCATGACTGGCTCGGTCACCGCGAGAGCGTGGCCTGTGGCTGGGCCTGCCGCTCAGCAGCGGAAGGTGCAGGCTGCTATCCTCCTTGCTGGGGGCTCTGAGCAGCACGCCCATGGCTGCCTGGGCACCTACAGAAACTGCCAGCAACTAAGTGATGCCGTGGTGAGCAGAGCTCTGGGCCACGCATGGAGTGGGGGCTGGCTCAGGAGGGGGTGTGGGGCTTGAGTCAGTGTGACGGGCACTGAGTGGCTGCTCAGTCTCAAGGGGCTGTAGTTCAACCTGAGCAGTGAAACGATATTCCTTTCCAAAAGGAATCTTACCTGCAGTTTCTAAGAAACGGAGGACCAGGTGTAGAGCAAACCCATAACCCCCAACACGTGAACCAGATAAATTACGTTACAGTGTTGCGAGCAGAAAAGAGGCTCACCAGGCTGCATAATTTTTATTAATTACATTAGTTGGTGTAAAAAAATAATAATAAATGGAGCCACCCCAGAGGAACCACCTTGACCGTCATATTCCTCAAACCTTGGAAAGTTAAAACAGGGCAACACAACCTCTGCACTGGGCCTGAGCAACCTGTGTCCCCAAGAACTATTTGCAAAGGTAACAAGAAAGCAGGTATGGTGACTACTAGACGGACGACTACGGGACTGAAAATTAAAAACATTGTTTAGAAAGAGCATCACCGTGTTATGTCGTCTGCACTATAGAAACGCCTTCCTTCCTTCTGTGGGTGGATGGAATTGTCCCCCTTACCCCTCTCGTAAACACCCCTTGTCTTTGTCTCCTCACCAGAACAGGACAGTAAAACCTCGAATTGTGAGTTAACTTGGTTTGCGAGCGTTCCACAAGATGAGCAAACATTTCTAGTACATTTTGACTTGGGAAACAAGCGATGTCTTACAATACGAGTAGTTTGTTTCCAGAACGAATTATGCTCGCAAACCAAGGTATTCCTGTATTTGGATTTTTGCCTAAATCGGTACGCCCTGAGTAGCTCTTCTGATTGATCTCAATAAATGCTTGTTGCCTCTCACTTTGGAAGGCCTTTGATGTCAAGGCGAACACAGGTGACCTTCGAACAAGCGGTAAGAAGGCACGCCCTCTGTTTTTCTTCCCTTAGTGCGAAGACCAGAAAGTGGAATGCCTCTACGAGGCTCTCAAGAGAGCTGGGGACAGGATGCTGGGCTCCTTCCCCTCGGTGGTCCCTCTGGTTCTCCATTCTTCCATCAGCTACCTGGGCTTCTTCGTCACCGACAGCACTGCAGACATCATCCGGGAATTCGCCATGATGTTCGCCACGGAAGCAGCTATTTTAGCAGGTAGGCAGCCCCAGCCAGTGGCACATGCAGGGCCCAGTTAATAGAAAGTGACCCCTTTGTGTCTAGGGCTGTGCTGGCCACACCTGGACACAGAGGGTGGATGCAAGGTAGCAAGAGTGACAGCTGTTCCTCGCTCAGCGGGGGTCAGATGGCTGGCTGGGCTGGGCTTGGGGTGCACACCCCCTGCCCGGGGCATTTCCATCCCCACCTCTCCCTTTCCAGTCAGCTTCTTTGACATGGCCTTAACCTGAGGCGGAACGATTTACTAGAGCCGCCCTAATGAGCCAGGTGTCCTTAACAGGCAAGCAAACAAGTCCTGAGAACCGGCACTGGCCTTTCCTCTAAGTGGAAATAGCCTTGTTTGCATGGATCTCAAAGTGATTTTCCTAACACTTGCCATTTTCTAGCTGCCTGGGAAACTGTCCCAGGTGGGGACATTGTGTGACAATGTGATGACGGGGGTTGTAGGCTGGAGAGTGTCCCACCATGGCCACCTCCTCACCAGGTCAGCACTGCGTGTCAAATGCAAGTCCCAGCTGACTATTTAAATTTTTATGCTTTTCTTGGTTTTCTCTCCTTAGCTTCTTGGGGAAAGATTGTCTAGACTCGCTTTGAAAATCAGGAAAATTCCCTTTTCCCCCGAACGCCAGTCCTGGTCTGGAGGCTGAGGCCCCAGCTGGGCTCAGTGGGGAGAATTCTGGACTTGACCTCTGCAGGTGGCTTTCTCCTGCGTTCCTGGCTAGCGGTGTGCCTTAGTCGAGTCAGCGCGAGTCCCTGTGCCATTTTTCTTTCTCTGCAAAACGGTGAGGCTCTCGCTGCTCGCACCACGCCGCCTGTTTTTTGCAGAACCCCCTCGTAGTCCCTGGCACACAGACACTATTCAGGGTGGTTGTGATGAGCTGACGCTGAAACGCAGGGACCCCAGCCCCGGTGGGGAGACCCCTCCCCAGCCCTCTGCAGGCGTCCAATTTCCCCCACCCTCAGGGGTGTACAGACCCAGGTCCCAGCCTCATAACTAAATCCCCGAGCCCCAAGTTTCCACTTGGAGGCTGGCTTCCAGAGTCCGGGGGTCATACGTGCTGGGCTATTGTCAATGTGTCCATGTCTCCGTGGACTAGTCGCCTTCACGGAAACGCCAGTCCACAGGATGGCACTTGAGTCTCCTGGCTCTGAAAGGAAAACATGGTTCTAATCCAACGTGTCAGCCACTTACCTCCGAGCTGGCACGGCGCCTCGTTTACCCTTCACGTCCTTTCCCCCCAACTCGGTCTTCTTGCCCCATTTTAAAAATGGAGAGACCGAGGCCGTGAAAGGTGAAGGGCCTGCCCAAGGTCACCGTCATGGGTTGAATAGGGTCCCCTAAAATTCATGTCCCCCAGAACCTCAGAAAAGAACCCTATTTGGAAACAGAGTCTTCACAGATATAGTTAAAATGAGGTCATCCTGGAGTGGAGCGAGCCCTAAGTGCAGTGACTGGCTGCTTGTGAGAATAGGAGAGCACAGAGAACAGGAGGCAGCCCTGTGAAGACGGAGGCAGAGATCGGGTGATGCAGCCACAAGGCCAGCAACGCCAGGGGCTGGGAGAGGCAGGACGGACCCTCCCCTGCAGCCCCAGAGGGAGTGTGGCCCTGCTGACACTCTGATTTTAGACATCTACTCTCTAGAACTGTGAGAGGACAGATTCCTATTTTTTTAAAGCCATCCAGTTTATGACAATTTGTGACAACAGCCCCAGGAAACCAACAGAGTCCCCTACCCAGTGAGTGGTGAGCTGGACCTGGAGCCTAGCTCGGTCTCACGCCACACCACCCGGGTTTCGTACTGATGGGCCACAGGGCCTGAGAGAGAGCAGCTTTGACCTCACGTCTATCGCTAGAACCTGAGAGGCTTGCCCTGCCCTTCCGAGGCCGGTGCCCTAGGCCTGACCCTGAGGGCTTGGCAGGGGCCAGTCACAGCTCCAGTGTGCCCCGCGTCCCTGTCAGGGCAAGTGTGTCCCCAGCAAAACATCCCCACGGGCAGGGGGCCACAGAGAGAAAAGACAAGGGCCCATTTAGAAGTTAAGCATGACTCACTGATCCCTCCGATGACGGCAGAGGTGAGTCTTTCTGAGGCCACACTGACTCAGGTGGCAAGGCCGTCCTGCCCCCACTTCTGAGACACCTGAGAGAAGGAATTTCCCCAACACCCACTCACTCTTTTGCCTCAAGCTTCTCCTCTCCACGGTGTCAAGTTTGCTACTAAAGACGCGGCAGATAACGCATGGGTGGAGCTGCCAAGCCTGGGCTCCAGGAAGTGCTCGCAGCAACCTCCACATCTCTCAGGGGACAGCAGGTCCTGTCTGTTGGTGTGTGTTGCCCGTGGGAGAGGTGGCAGGTAGCTAGCATTTACTGAAGTGTCCTGGACACCGTCAGTTCAGACGGGTTTCGACAGCTGTCGCTATCCTCCCGTTGTTGCTATAGAAACGGAAGCTGAATCAGGCCAAGGTGGCCCTGCCAAAGGGGGCAGAAGGCATCTAAAGCCAGGTCTACCTGACACCATGCTCTGTGCTGGTCCTGTCGGTCACCGCCTGCCCAGCATATAAACTAGCTTGTGGCCCAGCTGAAACCAGACCCTGGCTGGCCTCAGAACCCTGTAACGAGGACCAGGAGAGCTGGGGCCATGAGGGCCAAGACCCCTGAAGCACAGGGGGGCGGCTCCTGGGGTTCCTGCTTCCCCGAGTGGCCGAAGGTCAGAGAGGCTGTTGTGTCTGGCAGAGTCGCGCTGCCTCCCACACTTTCTTCCTGAGGCTCTGCCGTGGAACAAAAGCCACTGACCCGTCCAGGCCGCCGAGTAATGTGCACATCCCAGGGAACGGAGGAGGTGCTGTCTACTGTATACACGTTTATTAGCTGTTTGGGCACCTAGATTGCAAATCAACAGGCCCCAAACACCCCCCAAAACCCACCTCCCTGTACCCTCCTCTTTCCTACGTCCTCATACAATCTCCAAGAACCCAGCCATCTTCTCCACAAGGTGACCTCTGTGACAGGGCACAGTCTGGGTGGAGTCCTTGTCTGGCCAAGGAAGCCAAAGTGCAAAGGGGCCCCATCTATGAAGAGTCACACCACCAGGCCCGTGTACGTAACCATCCAGGGTACGTAGCCATCCTGGGCGTGTGGCCATTCGGGGTGCAT